CTTCAGCCCTGCTGTTTTATGAACTCCCACTGCTGATCCCAACAGAGATGCTTGGAGTTTGATTATCCTCGCATTATACGTGTACCAATGACTTTTTTTAACCTATTTCTCAAACACATCACACTTCCAGATTTTTTTAAACCTCACAGTATTATCCTACTATGGCAAGTTGCCAACATGTATATTTACTGTTGACTTTACAGTTTGAGGTTATATCTCCACCTGTCTCTAGCCCTTGAGTATATAATCACAGTAGCACCTCATGGGGAGAAGCATATAGGGCCATCTAGGATTTGTTTCACTTATTAAAATACAGAATAATTACAGCCATTGAGCTTTGTGAATTGTGAATTGTAGCTCAGAGAAACAAGTACCCTTATCATACTGCCAGTTTAAAAAAAAAAAAAAAAAAGTGTAAACTTTTGTAAATGACAGTTTGGAGAAAAAATAGAAGGGATTTTCTCAAACAAGCTTGTATTTGTGTATTTGGGAGGTGCTATTATATACAATAACCAGTAGTTTTAAATAAATTTATTAGGGAAGAAGGTATTCTTCAGGCAAACATTGAAGAATTACGTTTGAACCTGCCAGTCTGTTTTTGAAGCTGAGGCTATTACAGTCGCACAGGGAAAATGTCTCAGTCCTGTTGAATCCCACCAGAATAGTCCTGTCCAGAATACAGAGCATTAGTATTACAGTCCTGCACTGAATACATCTTATCCTACTTGTTAATAAGTAGGAACTCAATTAGCTGTGTACCGTACAAGTGACTTGAAGCAGAATTTTATCTAGATAAGGCTATCAGGTCTTGTGGCAAAAAGAAAAAAAAGTTTCAGGGTCATTTTCTGTGAGTAGTAGTTGTAAATATGTTGCTTACAATAATACAGCAGTGAAGAGGACTGTATGGTCTCTAAATGAAAGATGCTGTAAAGGCGTTCCGTATATATTTATCTATATATTTAGATCAAACAAGTTTATTATTGCCATTACAACTTTCATTGTTATCACTATTGTAAAGCAGATAAACCGAAGCATGCAAAAAGCTGGTGACTTTGTAGAAGTCACTGTGTAAATCAGTGGCAGTGAAAAGCAAGGAAAAAAATCCTGTAGCTTCAGTTTGCCAGGTTTCGTCCTACATTTGTAAGTCTGAAGCAGTGGTATTTGTAGAAAAAAAAGGGGCTGCAAATTCGTAGAGTCCAAAGATGACTTAACAGACAAGAGCAGCCAAGCGATGAGGCATGTTGTATGTCTGCACAACTGGCCAGCTGTGTTTCAGCAGTGTCCTCCCTTGCAGTGTGCTGTGTAGTACCTGTCTTCAGCATAACGTGATACCTAGCCTACCATATCATTTGTAAACCACTGTACAAACCAGCAAAGCAGAATACTGTACTTCTCACAAAGTTGTTAAAATTCTCTGAAATGCTAATAAGAAATAAAGTATGACCATGAAAGCTACTTAGGTTGGTTTTGGTTTTGTTGTTTTTTTTTTTTTTTTTAAAAAAAAAAAAAGGGCAGAAAAAACTGTAGTGGGTGAAGAAGAGAAGACAACTATTCACCCTTAGAATATGATAGCAAAACCTACATCCAAAGCAATATGCTAGAAAGTATTCCTAACCTGACTTGGTGTGGGATTACATGCCAGGAGTCTATCACCCAAAACATTGACTGAAATTAATTACACCCTTATTATGTAAACTGTTTCAGATTGATTAATACAAGCCTCTGGAAAAATCTAAATATACATCTGTATATTTTGGAACTTACAGTTCAATAAAATGTTCTTTGATGGAATTAGTCTTGGTGACAGACGTGTTGGGTATGTATTGAGTATTCTTTGCTGCTTTTGTATTTATAGGCAATTGGTGAAATGCAGCCACTTGAAAAAGAAAATGAAATCCAATCTTAGATTCATGCGAACAGCAGGAGTTCTCTGCAGATCCTTATTACAGTGTTACACATAGCTGTAGTAGCTGAGTGCTGTCAGTTGTGACTTAAATGATGAGAATGAATTCTGTCTTTTGTGGTTCCCACTCTTCCATCCTTTCCCAAAAAGGGAAATTTTTTGTGCAGTCTTTTTTTTGTTGCTTCCTTTATTTGCACACATATTATATATATACACACCTATAAATACATTATGTTCCCTCCTCAGGGAAGTAAGTGCAGAGGAGTGCATGCACATTCTCCCTCTTTTCTCTGTCCCAACCCCCTCATCTGTGTTATGGTGAGGGAAACTGTTTTGCAAGGGGAGGAGGGGGAAATGTTTGCCATGGCTGTGTGGTTCAACCTGCCTCTTAGAAAAAGTCACCTCCTTCAGAGGTGCCTGTCATCCTTCTGGAAGCGACTTTCACTGCATGAGAGGATCAATGCTGTTGACTGCTCTCCTTTCCTTAGACTATTGTTACAATCTTCTTGCACCCAGCCATTTGAACATCCTGAAGGTAAAGTCTGAGACTTTCAAACTCAGGATGCCTCAAACTTCGACTTGTACCTCATGAATTCCAGTGCTACGAACTTTCTCAGTATATTGATGTTGGAGCTTACAGTAATCATCCAGCTGAAGCCCTGTGCAAGTGAGGTTTCCTCAGTATTGCTGGGAGTAAACCAGAGCCTGCTTTCCCCTTTGACGATGTCATTTTCCTCAAACCGCGTAGATTGAGTTGCCTACCAGTGTTGTGCAGCACTTCACTTTCATATAAAACCCATGTTTTACTTCCAAGAAAAGAGTGTGGAGGGTAGTCTTTTGGCTTCAACTAACAAATGCTGTTGACAGTCTCTTTTGCCATTTGACTCCTGATAGAAACTAAAATAGCCTTTGGCAGATAGTGAGGGCCTTAATTTGTTACAGCCGTCCGAGGGATGTGCATTGCTTTCTTCTTTGTTCTGCCTGGTTTCCTGTGGAAATGAGGCTTTTTCTGTCCTGGTCTCTTTCTGCCAGCCTGTCCAACCCTATCCTATTGACTTTTTGAATCTGTTGGCCCATTTTAGTCCTATTTAACAGTGAGGCAGATGCCTTGATGATATTAAGGTTCTACCACTGTAATGAATGTTGGCAGCCAGATAGAGGAGAGAGATGTAATTAACGCGTGTACTGATGAAAAGGCTTCAGTGTGTGCTCAGCTTTTTCTAGGGCTTTATTAGCTCTGCTGTGAAGAAAACCGCCTGTTTTTATATTGTATAATTTTTTGTGCTTTAATAGGTGGCTTTGCTTCTGTGGTTTACCTTGCTATCACGCATAAGCACCCTAATGAGAGTTCAAAATGCCATTGAGCCTGCCAGTGTTCAGTGTGCAGGCTGATACTACCAGTGTTACTAGTTGTAGGAGATAATAGAGCTGCATGAGGACAAAAATTTCTTCTTTCACTGCTCCTCCTCACCTTGATTCCTTAGCTGTTCTCATCTTATGGGAAGGCCAGCACCTGCTGCCTGGGGTCTCCAGCCTGAAGCAAAGTTAGTAGCATCTTGGGCTGCTGACAAAATCATAAAGATTATTCACCTGAAACTCCAAAGAGTATTTACTTGGGTTTGAGCAGCTGGTCTACGATAACCAAACCTTTGTACAGGGGACAAACAGCAGAAACATGCATTGTTTTGAAGTTTTAAATTTATAAATGGTGTGTATCAAGAATATGGTTAAAAATGATGTATGTGCAAGTTCAATAATTCTGTGCTTTAGATGACTGCCTTAATTGCTTTTTAGTCTTGAGGTTTAGAATTGACCTGTCAGACTTTCATAAAATAGGCTGTTTTTATTATGAGTTATGAATCTGATGCAGAAGCGGCAAATAAGATGATGTATAGCCCAGTAATGTGAGTCTTTAACATTCTAGGCTTGTCTCATAATGATGCTTGTAGGTGTTCTTGGTTGAGTTCTGGAATAAGTATGCAATAAGTGTATTCTTTTTTTCCTGTAGCAAGATATTTAAGCATTAATTTAAGTGTATGTGAGCATGTAATGACTCTGTCTTCCTGCAACTTAGTCTTTCTCTTGTGGTACCTTTTACTTTTTTAGACTTTTGTGTTACTCTAGTCTTATAAGTGGTTCATATCAACAGATGGAAGTAGTAAACTAGCCAACACTAATTCTGAGAAATTGAAAGAATGGATATATGTATATGCACACTGTGCTATAAGCTTTTATTTAACATGTCTTACAGGAATCCTATTTTTTTTTTCTCTTAATCTATATCCTAGCTGTACGTGCCAGAAGCTGCGTGATGAGTTCACAGACTTGTCTACTTATACAACTGGATGCTTTTATTACTCTTATCATGGAATACATTGCCTGATTTGTAAAATATCAAAAACACTGTAAAATGGAGATAGCAAATTACTGACCACCACACACATGCAATTTATTTTCTTTTTTTTTTTTAATAAATGAGCTCATCTGCTGGAATACAGAAAAGTTTAGGGAGTCTGCAAACACTTTCACAAACAGTTGTCAATTGGCTTAGTATTGGACCTAACTAGTAAAACACCCAAATCTCTCTGAAATGAAGCGCATGATTAACCATCCTTCACAAATTGGAGGTATTATGAATAATATAACAGCATGGGTCAGAACAAAGCAAATTTAGCACTTTTCAAAACTGTTGATCGTTAGGATTTTTTTATTACTGTACGTGAAGCCTTTTGAATTTCACAGACCGATTTTTGGTCTGTAAAGTGTTCTGAAAGCAGCCCTAAATTCTCAAAGGACACTATGGCTTTGCAGAGCTGGAGAACCTGGAGCAGTGGGGTGGCTTTCCTGAGGGTTGTGTCGCTGGAGCTGAGTGAAGGGAGAGCATTTAAATGTATAGTCCATGGGTGACTCCAGGGAATATAGGAGGTTTTGCTCCCCGATGCTGGATTTAGATTATGCATTTCTGACATTCCTTTCATACCTGCAAAAGTTACTTGAAGAGTATAACATGAAGGTGTGGAAAGAGGAGAAAGATAAAGGGGAAATTTCCCATTGAAATTTTGTTTATATTTTTGTTTTTTTTTGGTTTTTGTTCCAGTGAAATGAAGCAGAAGTTGGATGAAGAGGGTAACAAGTGCAGCATCCTTTCCAAGCAGCAAAAGTTCAATGAGCACTGCTGTATTCGCTGCTGTTCCCCTTTCACATTTCTTATCAACAGCAAGCGACAGTGCCAAGACTGCAAGTACAACATCTGCAAGAGCTGCAGTTCTTATCAGAAGAAGGAGAAGGCTTGGATTTGCAGCGTCTGCCAACAAGCAAGGTAAAGGCCTGTTGTTCAACAACCTGTGTAAAGCAGCTGTGGCCTGACCTGAGCTTTTCCTTGTATTTGTCAGGAGTTAACACTGGCAGGATAGGACATGAAGTACCTGTTTATGTAGGGGTTGATCGGTTCCTGAGGCGTGACATGCCTGTTTTTTTTTGCAGTGGTTAATTTGTTCTGAGAGTGCTTGGTTACCTGTTGTGTTTTCTGGCTGGACTGATGAATCAGCAAACAGTAATTGGACTTAGTTTAAGCAGGGCTGGGATCTCCTGAAATGCCTGGGTTGTTAATAGAACCTTAGCACAGATGGTGGTAAGGCAGTTAATCATTTTGCAGCAGATCCCACTGATGGGTGGGGAGTGGAAGGAAGAATATTGGTGTATAGATCATCCAGCTGTGACTGTTTTGGAGTGCTTTTCTAAATGCCACCTTATTGTTGGGGTTGCTTTGGGCTTACTTTGGCAAATAACCAGAGAAAATAGTTCAACCTGTTGTAATTCTTAACATCTGTTAAGAATATGCTGCCAGGCTTCTATTTGCAAAGGGTGTCAGGGATTTACTCTCTCACCTTTTTGAGGCTAACAGAGCCACAACATTTAAATGTAGCACCAGGAAAACAAAGCAAATTCAAGCAAACGTACAGCAGCAGCAAAGGGGCCATTCCTCAAACGGTGACTGTGATAGTCCTTGTCTGCATTGCGTGACAGGTTCCAAAAGCAGCCTTAGCTGTGGTGATGTAGGACTGACCAAGGCCTTTTACTCGGACAAGAAGGGTAAATGAAATAACTCAATTCCTCATAGTTTAATTTTGAACATCGGTGACTAAAGCAGCTAAACAAATGACAGAGGTTTCTGTTTATACATCTTTCCCTTTAGTGGAGAACACAGGATGAAAACAATAGCTGAGTCCCTTTCCAATGTTGCATGATATTCCTGTCCTCAGTAAACACTCATTGCTCCCCACTTGTTTCCCATCAACACCCACTCGAAATTTAGGCTTTCACATAATATCTATAAGTGAAGTGTGTGACCTTTGACACAGGGCTTTAAAATCGTAGGGATCCCAGATAGATGATGTTGTGTTTCCAAATGCCAGCCTTTTACCTTGCAAAGCCTACACACCCCCCCACCTTTCCTCCAGTGAGGAGGCAGAAGAACAGGAGTATCTTTTCCAGCCACACAGAGAGCTGTGGAGCCAGTGCTTGTCTCTGCCGTAGTCATTTTCTGTTTCGTATTATACCTTTCTTCCACTTCTCCTGAGTTCACCCATATGAGCAGCAGAGCAGGCAGCCACGTTTGCAGATGCTGATGAACTGCACTTAAAATAGCTTTTGCTGACTCCACAAAAGAAGTCTCAAAAGAATTTAATTTTGGAAGAAAAATCTGTAGCTGTATTATAAAAATGATATTTCTGACCCTTGAAGTCAGTGCTTTTCCCACAATCCTGTGCAGCCCTCAGAGTCACCCACCTGTAACTCAGTTATAAACATTTTCTTTATTTATGAGACCTGAGACACAGCTTGAGTTATTTTTCCGTGAATAAATTAACCAACACTGCTGCTAATCATTTTATGATCTGGTTTATTCATTGGACTGTGTGACTTACAGATCCCTGTAGGGGAAGCAGTGACTGGCATTCCTCAGGGGCTACCGAAGTGGTTTGGTTTGGTGGGAGCTTTTTTTTGGTTGTGTGGCGTGGTGTGGTTTTTTGTTTTTAACCATCAGTCAGTATTTCTTCCAGGGAAAAACATGGAGGGAAACACCAGAGTGTTGTGGGTCCCTGTCACTTTCTCAGTGACTCATCCCTCAGATGGAGCATGAACTCTGCTCTCCTGCCCCTCCTCAGCTCCTCTTCTTATGTCTTTTATTTTTCCCCTTAATAAGATAGCACAAGTAGTGGAGGTGCTTCTTGGTTTAGCTGCTGCTTGGCTGCATATCTTACTGCACAATAGATAGTGAGCTAGAAATAGAGAGGACTGCATGTTCAGGTTGTTCTCCCCCTCCCTGTATGTTTTTACGTAATTCTACAAGAGTTAATGTTGTAATTCTCTGATGTGCAGAAGAGCTTAGACAAACTGGAAAAGTACAAATATATGTAGTTCAGGCTTCCTATAGTGATCTGTTTGTGCTCTTCAGCTCTGCTCTAGAGCAGTGCTTGAATAATCCGGAGTTTTATTTCTGGTACGTATTTAGATGTCAACCAGTTCTCTGATGTCAGAAGCAGTTTCTTGCTGTACAAAAGGCATTCTCAGCATAAATTGTGTTTGTAAAGATGGTTCATCTTATACTTTAAAGCTTGAGACTAATTAGGGGAATTACTTGGAAGATATGTTTTGTTTATCTGCACATGTGAAAATTCTGAAAAGTTCCTGTATTATGTGGGTATCAGAACTGATGACTCAGGGTTGGTTAAATTTTTTTTTGAAAGCAGTATGTTGTATAAACATCCCTTGGGTTCAGCTTTAAAACCCTTGTGGGATTTGTGCCCTTTTCTTTATACTCTCTTATTTCCGGTTATCTTCCTCCATAAGAGTGACGACAACTTTTGCAGGTTGTCAATCGTCTCCTGGTAGGTTCCTGCACCAACGTGATCTTGACACTAAAGATAATCTGACCTGTTGAGTTAGTCTTTCAGGGCATGACCCTAGCGGTGTTACCTGTTCTGTGGAAGTTGGTTTTCATCTTCCAAGGCAGACCATCTACATTGACATTTAGCAGAGAGCAAATATTCAGGTCAGCATTTGAAACACAGAACATTTATAGAAAACTGGGCCAAAAAGTTAGTCTCTGCTTCTTCCAAAAGCAGAAAATTCGTCAATAAGCCAAGGAAAATTTTGGTGTTTAAACTCATTTAAAGCACATTTTCTGTTACAGTGCATCTTTTTAAAGTTAGATGATTCAGCTCAGTATAGAACCTCAGTGCTCAGAAATATCTATACAACAATGTCTGTATGGATCGTGTTTGGCATTGGAGAACCTTCCTTCCCAATTTTCAGATTTAGCACACATTCTCCTAGTGCATTTTGGTTTAGATTTATCTCTAGATGCTGTTATTAATGTTCTAGGGTTTTTTTCTTATATATATATATATATATATATATATATATATAATCTTCTTATTTTTAAGTCTGTTGTGGTAAAACTGTGTATTATTAATTTCAAGTTTTCAATTAGTCTATAGTGCATTTCAGGTTCTTCCAAAGCTTTGTACAATGCTTCCTTGTTAGACACTCAGTAGACAATTTGTTTAGGCAACTTGCTGAGGTCTGTACCTCTTAAATCATCTCGACTAAGTAGATTCCAGGCATGGTTTCTTTGCCCTCTGCATTAACACTTTTGGTGCCAGATAGGGGGGTTCTTTGCTCACTTATTAGAAATAGGGCATGCTTTCTATATGTCTGAGACCAGTTTTCTTTTCCAATCATAAACGAGCTGTATCCCAGAACACCCTGCTAGTGATACTCTGCTTTCCAATTTACCGTTTGTACTAAAAAAAAATTAGGGTAAGCCATTAAAATGCATAGTTTTGCAGGTTTTCTAAACCAATCACATTTTACTTCTGGACTGTACGAAGAATATGTAGAGTCCCATCCAAAATAAGGCACGGAAACATCTGGCTGTCCACCTCAGCTTTTCATGACTACTGTGTGTGAATCCCCCTGCATTCTTGGTTCCCTTCTTCTGGTCTCACCGTCTGCATATCAAAAGATTTCTGCCCCTGTTGTGAGTGGGAGCATGGACACACAATCCTTCCATGCCTTCACATCCATCTGCTGCGTGATTCTCTCACTTGTTCTCAAAACCCTCACTCAGATGGTGAGAGTTCATTGCCTAGTGGCCTCTTGCTTCCCTCCCTTGAGCCAGGCTGAGAGTAAGGGGCATCACCCAGTCTGCAGGGAGCCATTATTCTGCTTCATCAGAGCTGCTTTCTTGTTGATGGTCCTTTAACAGTGACAGTTATTAAGAGACAGAGACCCAGGCACTGCTCCTTTTCTCCTTAATAGTGTTAACTAATGAAAAACACAGCCATGCTGTGTACACTCAGACTTCGTGCAGTCAAAGTTGCATTCTGAGTGGCTCAAAATGGATCCCAAAAATTGTCACACTCATTGTTTGCAGCATAGATTTAGATGAATGTTTAAGAGAACTGCTCTTTTGTTGTTGCTGGGGTTTTTTTTGTTTTGTTTTTATGTTTTTTCATGCCCCCAAGTCTCTACAGGGCAAAAGACCCCACGAAAATCTGGCAAAACCTTGGGATGATACTTGAGCAGAAGAATTACTCCTATTTAGTAACTGAACCTTGTATTTGTTTGTCGATGCATTCAGCTGTAACAAAACAGTTGGTTTCAGGACTTAGTTGTGGAAAGCTAATGAAGATATAATACTGCTTAGCAATCTTGTTTTCCTTTAAAGCAGGCTAAACCATCTGGTAAAAGGAAGCTGAAATATCCTCTGCCTCAGCCACAGCTTTGAGTATACCTTTGTGAGAGTTGCATATTTCTGCTGTTGAGGTCCTTGTCTGACATTAGAGAGAACTTCTACAGAATTTGGAAGCTGTGACTTTGTCACGTAAATGCCAGGAAATGTGTTTTTCCTTCTGAGATAGAATTGTGTAGGAAAATTTACTTGCTGTGTGGCATAGCAGAAAAGATAAAGTTTTAGCTCTGCCATGTGCGTGTTGTCTTTTTAACGGACCCACGTAGGTCTTGTTCTGCTTTTTCAAAAGTCCTATGAATGATCCCATTCATATTGCACTTAAGGAATTTACTGATTTCAGGTAAATAGCAGTGAAAATTATTTTCCTCACCTGTATGTACTTGTAGAAATTGATGCAATTATTTCCAAAAATGCCTGCTGCTCTATTCCAATTTTCTTCCTCCTCCTTCTCCCACCACTGTCTTTCTGGTTTGTATCCTGTCTCTTGATCGCCTTCTTCTTACCATGCTTTAACGTTGCAATGGATCACAGACACGATATCCTTTTGCTTACAGTACCCATGA